CCCTCCTGTTTCCTACCTTTTAGGTGCATGAGGGTGACTTCCCTGGTATCCAGTGGCTCAAGCTGATGGGAGTCAGTGTTCCCACTTTGACTCCCTCCTCTCTTCCTCCCGCACGGGCTCTGTGTAAGCTGTCCCTTTCTCTCAGCATCTGACTTCATCACAGGGGGTCCGGTTGCGCTGTTAAAGCACCGCAGCGCTGACCGGGCCCCCTGAAAATACATAGCATCGGGTGGGCAATGCTGTTAGGGTTGGCCTAAACGTGCGGCCCTGGCGGTTCTACTGCGCCGGCCGGAACACATGGCCGGCTAGGCACCGCGGTCACATGGGTCCACAGGGCGGCAGGGCCACCTTGAGTGATGGGCAGGGTCGCAGCTGCGACACCTGTGACTGTGGTAGTTCTGCCACTGGTGTCAGGAATACATGTATGTGTTCCTGACTCTATAGTGTTCCTTTAACATAACAAAAGGCAGAAAAAGTAAAAACAGTGCTGACTATTACATACCTCAGGGATACTTTAAATTTTGTAGGGTGTGGTCAGGGGGCTGTTATGAGAAATTTCAGCTGACTTACTAGTACCAGTTTATGCAAGTAAAATGTAATTTAGATCAAGATAAATGTATATCTTATTTACACATACTGATTTCTAAACACATTTATTGGAATTTAAAGATACATTACTTTGAGTATTACTGCTGTGGACCTCTATAATACACTAGTATACACCAATAATATGGTGCTTCAGAAAAGAGGGACACTAGGAAAGAAAAGATTGACAAAAAAAAATGTAGGTCCAAAATAAGGACTGCCCCTCCTAAATAGGGACACTTGGGAGGTATGAATTAAGGTAGAGGAAGGGTTATAGTCAGTTGTGTACCTACCACATTCAAAGGGCTCAATGCATGGAGAGGTTGTAGGGGAGGGAATGGGACACACAGAGGAGCTGAGGGAAAGGAAATGAGACACATGGAGGGGCTTTGGGGGAAGAGGAAATGAGACACATATAGGGGCTTGGGGGGGGGGCATTAAACACATGGAGGCAGTGGCATACACACAATCCATGGGGCCCCTCTCCCCTCCACCTTTACCCTCTCCCCCCTGACCGTGGGCCCCCCCCCGACACATACATACAGACACAAAGACCCCCCCCGACAGACACATACATACATACAGAGACACAGACACACACACAGAGACACACACACATACATACACACATACAGAGACACAGGCACACAGACACACACAAACATACAGATACACCCTGGGGTCCAGTGGTGGCTCAGCCTGATGGGAGCCACTCTGACTCCCTCCTCCTGCGCGGGCTCTATGTATGCTGGCAGGAGTGACCGGGGAGTCACTGCTGTTAAAGCGCCCAGCGCTGACCGGGCCCCATGACAATCCATATCCATCGGGTGGCCCTGACAGCATGGGCCACCCAATGGACCTCTTAACAGGCGGCCCCAGCAGCAGGGGTCCACAGGGCAGCCAGCCCACTGGAGTGACGGGCTTGGTCGCAGCTGCGACCCCTGCGACCGCAGTATTTACACCACTGCATGGAGGGGCTGCGGGTAGGGAATGAGACACATGGAGAGGCTGGGGGCAAGAGAATAAGACACATGGAGGGCCAGGGGAGAAATAAGACACATGATGGACTTAAGGGGAGGGGAAAAAAAGTTTTACAAAACTAAATGTTACAAGAACTAAAATCTTGGAAAGGAGTAATACAGCAAGGTAAAGGTCAATAATAGGTATTTCTGCTTTTTAGCAGTACTACAGTTTGTGAAATTGTTAACTACATAAAGCACTGGCTAATAATAAGTTAGCTGGCATTTTAGCAGGTGCAGAGGCAGGGTAAAGGTTTAACAGCTCAGTGGGAAGTTTTAAAAAGCGTTTTGGATTGACCCCTCCCGCTTGCCTTACTCGGCTTCACGGTTGCCAGGATACAGAACTTGCAGGTGTTGTGTGAATGATTGAAAGAAGGGTTCCTGGTAATAACAAGGTAGGAGAGAAGTAATAAATTAATGCTGTGCGATTATTACACTCATTGCAATGGTGAGGCTTCTAATAATAGCACATCTACTTAAACCGTGTTAATAATGTTCATGGTGTGTTTATATCTGATCTAAATGCTTGGCAGAATCGTAAGTGTAAAGTGAGAGGCTGTACCACTTGCAATTGGAACGTCTGCCATGTAGTTCTGAGTTCTAATACATACTTCAAAATAACAAGAAGTAAAAATGTTTTGTTAATGTAGGGCATGAATCAAACACAGTAATTTCATTTTACAGACAAATGAAAAACAAAAGGGATAATAAATATGTAATTCATAAAAAGTAATGCAATGTGCTTATTATGACAAATCTAACAGAAATTGGGCTGGTGCCTTATATAAATGACATTTTAAATCACAACATTTAGAACACTTGCTGCATTGTGATACATTTTGAGACTGAAAAATATAAAGATATGAAAAGAAAAACAAACTGTCCAGGACAGTTGTTAATGCAACTCATCTCCCAGTCTCCCAGTAACCAACTTCATGCTGATGATTTGCATTAACAATTAAACAGCTGTCCATGAGTGTGTTTCAAAGCTGTTGTATACAGAGCAGACACACACTTCTGTGGGAAAAGCAAGTCTTATGGCTTGATTGGTGTGTGTATTTGTGTTTAGCAATGTATTAACTATCCACTTACTTCAGGTGGAAGGGGTTTTCATCCACACTTTTCCCCCCCACCACAACTCTGCTGGTGTGTGTGTGTGTGTGTGTGTGTGTGTGTATGTGTGTATGTATGTGTATATATATATATATATATACACACACACACACAGTGGGACCTCGGTTTACGAATTTAATGCGTTCTCTGGGACGTTTCTTATTGCGAAACATTTGTAAACCGAAACACGGTTTCTCATAGGAATGCATTGAAAACCAATTAATCTGTTCTTGAGGTCAGAAAAAAATCAAAATGAGCTGGCATGGAAACCAACCCACAATGCAGAACACACAGCTTGAGAAATGCACCAAAAAGTCCCAAAACAACTGCAAACAATTTCCAGAATGGCTCCAAAACTCGCCCCAACACCTCCACACTCGACGCCACGTGCTACCCACAGGCTCCAGCATTCAGAGGGCGGTGCTATAAACCTCCCAGATGCAATGCTTCCTGGGGAAAATTGCTTTGTATTGCAAAAAATTTTTAAACCAAGGCATTATTTTCAATAGATTTTCATTTGTAAACCGAAAATTGTGTTAACCGAGGCAATTGTAAACCGAGGTCCCACTGTGTGTGTGTGTATATATATGTATTGGCTCCTCAAACACCCACACTTTCCCTGTCCCATCAACACAGCACACTCTCCCCACACACAATCAGCCTGTCACACTTACCTCACAGTCACCCGTCATCCTGCCACAGTGAAGCACATACCAGTGGCGGATCCAGAGCCTGATCTCGGGAGGGGCACTTGTAGATTATTTAAATAAATAATCCAGGCACAATAACCACTACAGCTCAGTGTAGTAGTTATGGTGTCAGTAGTGCCAGGATTCCACCCCAGAGTAAGTAGTCATACCGTTTAAGAACAGTTTAACAACTTACCTGGGATCTGCTGGGATATAGGCTATAGGAGCAGTGGTGTGTGTTAAGGGTAAAAGTGTGTGAGTGCGGCAGTGTATGTCAGGGTTGTAGTGTGTGTGTTAGGGGGCAGTGTATGTATGGGGGCACTGTATGTGTTTTTGGGGCAGTGTGTGTATGGGGACAGTGTGTGTATGGGGACACAGTGGGGCAGTGTGTGTGTATGTGTTTGTGGCAGTGTGTGGCAAAGGTGTATACAGTGTTTGTGGGGCAGTGTGTGTATGGGGACAGTGTTTGTGGGGCAGTGTGTGTATGGGGGGCAATGTACGTATGGGGACAGTGTTTGTGGGGCAGTGTGTGTGTGTATGGGGACAGTGTGTGTGATGGGGACAGTGTGTGTGTATGGGGACAGTGCGTGTGTATGGGGACAAAATGGGGCAGTAAAAGGCAGTGCCAGGGGCGGAAAGTGTGTGTGTATGGGGGCAAAAGGAGTGGGGACAGTGTTTAGCAGTGTGTGTATGGGGGCAGTGTATGGGAATAGTGTTAGGCAGTGGTGCATCGGGACAGTGTCTGTGGGGCAGTGTGTACGGGACAGTGTCTGTAAGGTGTGTGCTGGGGCAGGTGTGTATGGGCAGGTGGGGCAGTGTTTGTGGGGCGTGTGTGTATGGGGACAGTGTTGTAAAGTGGTGTGTATGGGGCAGTGTGTGTGTATGTAAAGCAGTAGTTTAGGCAGTGTGTGTATAAAGGTGTGTATGGGGACAGTGTTTGTGGGGCAGTGTGTGTATGGGGGGCAGTGTTTGTGGGGCAGTGTGTGTATGGGTGGCAGTGTGTGTATGGGGAGAGTGTTTGTGGGGCAGAATATTTATTTTAAAAATGTATTATAAAAAAACCTCCTCCCCCCCCCCCATTACACATACTGCCCCACAAACACTATCCCCATACACACACACTGCCCCCCTGTAATGGGGCAGTGTGTGTAATGGGGGGGGGAAGGAGGCTTTTTAATAATAATAATTTAAAAAAAAAAATTTAATAAAATAAATATGTCCCCCCTCCCTTCTTACCTTTATTGAGCAGGAGGGGGGACATTTCTCCGTCCCTGGTGGTCCCAGTGGTGATTCCCTGGTGGTAAGGTGGTCAGAGTGAACTCTAGCCCACGCTCCCGGGCTAGAGTTCACTCTCGCGAGATTTGGAGCGTTGCCGTGGTAACCGCGGCAACGCTTTAAATCCCGCGAGAGGAGGACCCGGAGGAGCTGCAGACTGAGCTCCGGGTCCTCTCTCTCACTCCCTCCCTCCCTCCACCGCCGGCCGCCAGCACAGTGCCTGCGGACCGGGGAGGGAGAGCTCTGTTCTCCCCTCCGGTCCGCAGGCACATTGCAGGGCTGGCACTTGGGCAATGCCAGCCCTGCGTTAGCCAGCAGGGGGGAATCTCGGGGGGGGCAATTGCCCCGTTGCCCCCCCCCTGGATCCGCCAATGGCACATACACAGATCCCTCTCTCACAGACTGTCACCCCTTACGCACACAACACAGCCTTGCCATCAATACAATGCACACCATAGGCATGCGCAGCCTATTGCAACACACGCCGCATGTATATGTATTTTTATATATACATACACACCTACATATATATTGTGTGTGTGTGTGTGTGTGTGTGTGTATATATATATATATATATATATATATATATATATATCACAAAAATATATACAAGGGGCACTCACAGGTCTTGATTAGAAGTTTCGTTTATTCACTGGTGCAAATTATATGTGCAGAAAAAAATCTGTGATCGTCTTGGGTCAGGGCAGACAGGAGGTGCCTTGCACCCAGCGGCATTGTGGTCAAGCTGCCGGGCCCCTCCTGT